ACTCTAGGCCCAGGATGTGGCTGGGTGCTGTGTGTGATGCCAGGGGCCCTTCTTGCTGAGCCCATGACATAGCTGCGTGTCTTAACAGTGTCCATCTCATATTAGCAGTAACTGCATCAGGGCTACCCCCAGCCCCTCTGTGCACCCTCACAATGTCACAGAGCAGATGGCAAACTCACTGCCTCCCTCCCCTGCCGTGGTGCACACAGGCAGAGAGAACCTCATGGGATTTACCACGTGGCCTAGGCCGGCAGCCTTCTTCAGTGAACTGAACTGCAGGTAGAAACCATGAGTCATCCAACTGGCTCCTGCTGGGGCCAGGACTGGCAGATACATGGGCAGTTCTGCCTTGCAGTTCTGTCCAAGGCAAGGCTGTTACCTCAACCTGTCTCAGGAACGCCTAGCCCCGGCTCAGCTTGCCCTCTCCCTTCCACAAGAGGTGGAAGATCTCCAAGTGCAATTCGCCGCGAGGCACCACCTACACCCGCTCCCCTGGCCAGTCCCACAGCTCAGGCCTGCGCTGCGTCAAGACTTGCCTGATCATCACGCTGGCTGGCACATCCCCGCCACTGTACTAACCCAACAATGGCTGCACTCTGTCCCCACAACAAGACTGCACACTGCTGACTAACTCAGAGCCTGTCCCCTGACACCAGGCACAGCATAAGCTCATGCAGGCCTCACCGCAGTAAGGGTCTGCACGTGAGCCAGCAGCACCCCAGCCAGCGCGGGACGCCTGATCCCATCACTGCATGTGGTCCTTAATCATTCAGATCATGCCGTGACGTCCACCTCACTCCCTGAATCAGAGTGGAGTTTTGTGTAGTTTAACATTTTCCTTACACAGTAAGGAAATCATTCTTTTTACAGGGATTTGATACGTAACTCACAGAGTATAGTCCTTCCAAGTCAGAGGTGCGCTTTTCATGAACTCCAGCATTTCAGCTGAGGCCACATCTTGAAATGCAAGCCCTCATCAAGGCAACTGTTCCACCCTAGGCCATGCCTGCCTACCCCCGGCCACCCCACAGAGCCTTCTACGATTCACCAGCCAAGTGAAAGGGACGACGGGCACCCTGGTCTAGTCTCCCAGAGCTGAAACCCCACAGCTCCAGGCATTTCAGTTGACAAGTGGCAGAGTCTGCACCTCACCTTTATGTGTTCCCAGAACCTTATTGTCTTCTATGGAAATAAAGTGACCAGGTCGAGGCTGCAAATACTGGAAAACAAACATTTCATTATCGACGGAGATCCAGGCCCAGGGCAGACATGCAGCCCCATCGCTTTGTGTCAAAGACCAGCACTGACCTGAAGAAGGAAATGTTCAAAATTCCTCTTCCCGATGAAACACATACCCATGCTCTGAAATGAGAAGATGGCAGCAGTGAGAGGACCAGAAGTGGGGGTGGCCCACACTGTACCCAGACATCCTGAGCGGGCCCTGGGGCTTCCCGGCCTCACCCCCCACCTTGCTTCCAGGGTAAGGGCCCGGCTGCCCACCAGCACCCTTGGCCGCCAATCACAGCCGGCGCACACAAGGCCAGGACCTTAGAGGACACCTCACTGTCTCAGCCTGCAGGGTCTGACCCCGCGAGGCAGAACCTCACACCAGCTGCCCCGCGGAAGAAAGAAGGACCTGGGGAGAGACAGGGACCAGAGGAGGGGCAGAAAGCAGAAAAGCCAGGCCTGAAGCTAAGGCCTCAGGGTAGGGCTCCAGGGGAGTCAGAGGAGAGGTGCCTTCCTCAAGTACATCTGCCCCAGCTGGGGAGCCTGGGCGGCGTGCGCTCTCCACCGTGGCCCCAGCAGGGGCTGCATCATTTACTCTCGGGTTTGTGTCTCTCAAGACTGCCCCTCCATCCCTGCAGCTCCCACCACAGAGCAACGCTGGAAACGGAAGACTAGAGAGGAGAACGGGGGTGGGCGTGCTCTTCAGGGAAGATGACTCTGATGAAAGGTATGGCCGTTCCATTGCCAGGAAGAGACAAGAAGGAGCGACAGCTCCCACCGCACCAGCCCCGGAAGAGGTGAGGCTCATCCCACAGCGCCCTCGCCCTCCATCCCCAAGTTCCTCCCACGGACTTCATCCTAGTTCCGCCAATGCTCTCTTTTTGAGACAAGTTTCGCTATGTTGCCCAGGGTGTCCTCACGCTCCTGGGTGCACTCGATCCTACCGAGGAGCTGGGGCCACACGCAGGCACCCCCATGCCATCCTCCTGGCTTCTCCTTGCCTCAAGGCCTTTGCACTGCCATTCCCTCATCTGGACTTTCCCAGCCCTCTCTGGGACACTGGATCCCCTCATCCTGCAGGTCTCAGGTTCCATGTAACTTCTTTTGAGGCCGTTTTTGGCATCTCCATTTCCTACTCTCAGACCCCACTGGTGCTTCCCGCCCAGGGTCCTCCACCTCCCTCCGTAGACATTTTCTAGGTTTACACTGATTGGCCTCCTGTCTGTGTCCCCCACTCGCGGGTGAGCTCCATGGAGGCAAAGATGGAACTCTGTGCACGTCACCATATCCTCGAGGCCCAGCAGCACAGCGCCTGGAACAAACGGCACCGAACGAGTCTGTGCCAGGCGAGTAGATGACAGGGCACATCAGCGTGCAGACGGTGGCAAAGCACCTGCCCCTCCAGGGGTCTCGGTGCTGCGTCACACTGCCTGGCACTCACCTGGCAGGCAGGCCATCCTAAGAGCACCCCACCAGCTGCGAAGGCGGCGGGGAAAGCTGCCTATCACAAGGGTCAGAGGAGAGGAAAAAAGCAAGGAGTCTCCTGTAGGCTGCTCCCGGATGTCAGCAGAGCCCTGTACCGTGCGCCTGAGCAAACTCCTCCATCTATTGCTCCAAGGTGGGCCTTTGATGTTAGGTCCTGGAGAAGGGGAAGTGGTACCGGACCCACAGGCCCAGCTGCTCCGCGGCCGTGCAGTCGGGAAAGGGAAACAGGCACTAATCAAAGGAAACTGCTCACTCATACCTCTTTCTTCTGAAGCACATGATGAAGTCTATTCTCAGCAGCGATTTTCTTTACAAACTCTTTTGTTAATCCCCCCAGAGGGAAGATGGTTCTCCTCAGGGCATCCTGGGAAACCTGGCTGAGAAAGAAGGTCTGGTCTTTAAAGCTGTCAGCTGCCTGGAGGAGTTTTACCGCTGCCAAGAATAAAGAACAAAAGACGTTGCAGGAATAAAAATAATGATACTTCACTTTCAACAATGTCCTTCTGTTCCCTTAGACAGACTATCCCTAGCCTGTCAGAAGCAGACAACAACATTCAATAGCAACTACTAGGGAAAAGACCGCCACTGGGTTAATGTAAGAAAAATTTGTACCTCCAAAAAAACAAGGATTTTATATGACAAATTATTCCAGCTCATATTTCAGAATATAATATTTTCAAAGATGAAACATCACATGAAAAAATGTTCTGAAGTGATGAAAAAAAAAAAAAAAAAAACACCTAAAATAAATTCAGCCAAATCTTGGAAAATGGAGTAAGCTAGCCGCTTGTAGAAAATTCTACTGACAGCGTCAGCTGTGGTTTCTTCCAACAACCACAGGATGTGTTCGTGCCACGGTGGTTTCAAGAACTCTACACTTTCCAGGTTCACTGCTGGGCCAGCACCAGCAGCGTTCTACCTGTGAACACATTAGCTTTCTTGGTAAAAACATTTTTTGCTTAGAGTCTCAGCTGACATCTGTTAGGTGCCCCTGCAGTTCCTCCGACATTCCCTATGTGATTGTAAAGAGCCATTTCTGGCCTTAAGGCAATGGAGCAGAGGTGTGAGTAAACCTGGCTCAGAACTGTCCAGTTCTCCACTTTCAAGTTCAATGATCAATGGCAAAAAACTAAGACGAATGTCAGTTTTCTGGCTTCTTTCAATCTTTCTCATGAACTTCTCCTTTCGAGTTACACTCAGAGCACGCCACATGCCATAACGGTCAGACAGCACACGTACCCTTCCTGGCTTGGCAGAGCCACGCGTACAGCATACACACTGTAGCTAGGGCTGTCCATCTGCTGATACCCACGTTAGCCATGAGAGGGAGAATTCTCCTCACGTTACAGAGGGGAAACTGGAACCAGCCCGGTTCATTATACATGACTCGCCCAAAGTGATGCAGGTGGAGGCGGCGCGAATGCAGGCTGCCCAGCCTCCCAAGTCCCACTCCCTTACTTGGCAGGTACAAACAGCAGAACTGAGCGACAAGCGAGACTAAGTTCAACCAACCAGTCGCCACGGAAGCAGGGCGCTTTCCAGAGTCCACTTTTTATTTTCTTTCTTGAGATGGAGTCTCGCTCTGTCGCCCAGGCTGGAGTGCAGTGGTGCATCTTGCTCACCGCAATCTCCACCTCCTGGGTTCAAGTGATTCTCCTGTCTCAGCCTCCAGAGTAGCTGGGACTACAGGCACGTGCCACCACGCCCAGCTCATTATTTTTTGGTATTTGTAGTAGAGACGCGGTTTCACCATGTTGGCCAGGCTGGTCAAACTCCTGACCTCGTGATCTGCGCCTGCCTTGGCTTCCCAAAGTGCTGGGATTACAGGCATGAGCCAGGCATGAGCCACCGCAACTGGCCTCAGAGTCCACTTTCAATCCCAAACTAACTGCAGTCAAACACTGCATGTAGCCTCAGAAAACTAGGAGCCATTTGCATTTTCTTCTAGTTCTGAGTCATTTTAAAACAAACTAAAAATCTATGATTTTCAAAAAAGCAAGCTGGTGACCCTAACTGAACTACTGTAGAGGAAAAGCACAGAAAGGAATGAACAACATTTGGAGGAGGCTGCCTGTGCTCGAGCCTCACTGACCAGCCGGCGCCCGTGCTGGCTCTGCCAGGCCGGTGGTAGGACGCTGTGCGGGGGAAAATCGGTCTAGTCACAGGCCGGGCCTAGGAGCGCCAGTCTCAGGTGCTGACCAACCCTGAGCCCAAGCCCTCCACTGCCCCTACAGGTGCTCTCCCCAGAGACCCAGGCCAAGCCAGGGCAACTGAAGAAGAATGAAATGGAAACCTTGAGTGTGCCTACCAAACCAAGTGAAGGCCAAAACATTGTGGCATCATCAGAACTCCCACACGCCAAACACACTCAACAAAATGCATCCATCAGTACTATCAGACATCTCCTAGGGCACGTGGCCTATAATAAAGGTCGATGGCTCTGCAAGGCACACAGTGTTCTAGGAGGTAAGCAGACACATCTATTCAACATGGAAATTAACCCTCCATTTCCTCAGGTCCCATAAATGCACAATTACTTGGTGAATTCCACCCCGGAGTTCCCAAGTAGCAGGACTCTGCATTCAAACCCATGTCTTCCTGAAATGGGGGGCTGTCTTAGGGGAGTGGGCTGCTATTCTCTGGGCTCAAGTTAGTACAGTTACCTGATCACCCTCTGGCATAAGGAAGGAAGGAGAGGAGGGAACAGAGGGTAGCAGACGACTGTTGGCACACTCAGGGCTCCCTTGACCAAGCACAGCCCTGCCCCATCGCTGCAGCCTTCAGGATAGGCTCAGCAACGCTGAGGAAAGAACTCAGCTGGGGCCTGACCCAGCAGAAACAGCAGGGGCTGGAGAGTGAGCAGAAGTGCACTGCAATCCAGCTCTGCCGCCCGAGATACCTAGGTCAGGTGGCTTCATCCAGGCCTCGGTTTCCTCATCTGTGAAACGGGATGAGAGCACACACCTCATGGACTGCTAAGAGGGGCGATGTGAAATGTGTGAGGCCAGGCTTGGTGGCTCACACCTGTAATCCCAACACTTTGAGAGGCCAACGTGGGAGGATCGCTTAAGCCCAGGAGTTCAAGACCAGCATGGACAACATAGCGAGACCTCATCTCTCCAAAAAAATGAAAAAGTTAGCCAAGCGTGGTGGGGTACACCTCTGGTCCCAGCTACTTGGTGGGACTCAGGTGGGAGGATCACTTGAGCCCAGGAGGTGGAGGCTGCAGTGAGCCAAGATTGGGCCACTGTCCTCTAGCCTTGTTGACAGAGACCTTATCTCAAAAAAAAATAAAAATTTAAAAAAGAAATGTGTGCATGTAAAGCCCTGCCCCAGCCCCAGTCCCAGAGACCCCTGTTCCCTAGATGGCAGGACAAGGCTCCCTCCAACATCTGAATTTCTGGACAGAGGAGCAATGCTGCCCTACAGGGGTCCTACACTGATGGATGCTCCCTGCAGAAACACAGCTCTGAGCTCCACTTGGTTTTTCACTCAACAATGCAGGGAATTCCTCTTTTCTACATACACATGTACACCAGAGCAAGCCAGCAGCTTCCCAGCTCTCTGTCTGCTATTGACTTTTTTCTAGAAAGGTGAAACCTGGCTCCCTAACACACATATGGCTACAAAGCCTGACTGCTGAGCCTATGCGATCCACAGCAGATCCTGTGCTCACAGCACATTAAAAGTCTGCCTGAACCGCATGCCCTTGAGAACTTATTGCTAAGTACAGGGCCTTGGCTAGACTGACAGCACCCCAATTATCACTGTCAAATATTTACCCAAATATTTTTGGAACATTCAAATCACCAATGCACAGTGTCTAGAGCTGGATTATCAATATCTGATGTCATTTTCCACCAGCCCTCACCATAGCCAGCAGGGACATCTCTTACTACCCAATCACAGGCCCTGAGGGCAAGTGCCCTCTTGGTAACCGCACCTTTTCAAATGTGAATCCCATACAAGCTACTCTGGAGCACAGAGGGAGGGGTGGCCGTGATCCTCAGGCACAACCCACTGTCATTCCTCAAAAGATTTCACTCTATTCACAAGAATTCAGCTCTGATCTGGGCACTTTAACTTACCATTCCTAACTTCAAACCGATTTCGGAAAAGCCCTTCTGGCCTCTTAATGTGCTTCTGCTGAAAGACTTCTTCATCTTCCAGTGAAGTTCTTGCGTAGTGGCCTGTGGCAATGGCATCTGCCCCTGTGAGGTTTTTAGAACACAAGGATCAGGTTTTAGACTCAAAACTTGCAGGCCTTGATCAGCATAAACCAAGGCACAAAAGAAGAGTACAGACCCCAAGTCTTTAGGCTGACGGGCTGCGCAATCCACCTTGCCCCCAAACATGGAGATCCCAGGGAACAGAGGCACACATCCAATTCCATCAAACAAGCAGCCTTGGACTCTGAAGCTGATACAATCTTGCTACTTGAAGTGTTACTGCACTTTTAAGAGCCTTTCCAAAGTTAACTTCTAGCTTAAGGAAACTGTATGAAATGCACAGAAAGATTTAAATACAAAATATTTCAGGGTTTGTTATAATACTAAGGGAGGCCAGGCGCAGTGGCTCATGCCTGTCATCCTAGCATTCTGGGAGGCCAAGGCGGGCAGATGATTGCTTGTGCTCAGGAGTTCAAGACCAGCCTGGGCTGGTGAAATCCCATCTTTACAAAAAATACAAAAGTTAGCCGGGCGTGGTGGTGCACACCTGTAGTCCCAGCCTCTTGGGAGGCTGAGGTGGGAGGATTGCTTCAACCTGGGAAGTCGAGGCTGCAGGAAGCTGAGATTGCACCACAACACTCTAGTCTGGGCAACAGAGTAAGATGCTGTCTCAGAAAATAAATAAAATAAAATAAATAAATAAATAAATAAGCACCAAAATGGACCCAAATGTTCACCACTGGGAGAATGTGAAGTGAATGACAATGCACTGCCGTAACAACGGGGGTCCTTACGGAGAATGTTTATTAACACAGGAAAACGCCTGGCACTGTTCAGCAGGGTGAGGATGTAACACCATGATTCCACTGTTTTTACTGTAGAGAAACAACTGAAGAAAAGTCTCAGGTCTATTCCTTTGATTCTGAGAGTGAAATTGTAGGCGTCATTTCTCCTCTTTTAAATTTTCTGTAATAAATATGTACTGTTTTCATCAGAGTGAAGAACCGTACGCACACTGTTTCTTCTTTTCATATTACACAAAGCCAAAGAGCCTAAGAAGGTGCATACGAGTCCAGAACCTTTTCATTGTGTAAAAATTCCAGATATTTGGGCCAGGTGCGGCGGCTCATGCCTGTCATCCCAGCACTTTTAGGAGGCCGATGTGGGTGGATCACTTGAGATCAGGAGTTTGAGACCAGCCTGGCCAATATGCTGAAATCCCATCTCTACAAAAAAAGTACAAAAATCAGCTAGACATGTTGGTGGGCACCTGTAATCCCAGTTACTTGGGAGGCTGAGGCAGGAGAATTGCTTGAACTCAGGAGGTGGAGGTTGCAGTGAGCTGGGATCGCACCACTGCACACCAGCCTGGGTGACAGAGTGAGACTCCATCTCAAAAAAAGAAAAAATTACAGATACTTAGTTTGGGAGAGACTTTTATGAAAGGTGCAGCAAAATGGATTCCATCCTTAACCAACCACACTAGCTCACTGTAAACAGAAGACACAGCAAGAATTAACTGCTGCATATTAACGACCTGAAAAAGGCACTTCAGAAACACATGATCTCATCTTGACTGAGTTTCTCATAGAGAAAACAATCCACTTTAAATCTATGTCCTTAAAGAACAGCCCTGATACTAGAAAAAGTGCAGGATGCCCCTGAGAAGTGCGGTGAGTTCAGAAGTCCGGGTGTCATGTCCTGTCATCCTGTGTTGCATGGTTCATGCCTTTCATCCAGGTGTGGAAATATTCACTACAGCAGTTCCTTCCACAGCGTGCCTGACAGCCAGTCACCTAGGGGCTCCCTAAAAAGCTTTTGTGACAGAGCGCTCAGTGCTTCCATTCCTGAACAGCTGCCTGCGCCTCCACCCCAGGGAACTCTTTCTCCTGCCAGTCCTAACTCTGTCCTCTGGTCACACAAAGAATGTCATCCTAACTCACACACTTGACCACTGCCACTATGACCCAAAGTAATCTCAACAGTTCAGGGAGGACATATTTCTGGATACCCTGAAAATAAAAATCAATTCACATTCTATCAGTCTGTCACTCTTTTCCTGAATAACGGACACGGTCTAACCAGGACAGACCATGGTGGACGCGTCACTCCTTCCCAGACATTCTCTGATCATCAGGGTGAGCTCAGTCTGTGCTGACTTTGACAAAAGACATCACACTACTGGCTCAGTCAGCCTGGGGGCACCCAAATCCCCCAGATTTTCTGCATATTCAATGGCAACCAAGCTAGGTCTTTCCAATCTTGTACTAGGAGAATGAGTGAACCTAGTTAGCAAACTGCATTTATCTCTATTGAGTTTCATGTTTTTGGTGTTAGCCCAGGGTTGAAATTTAAGATTTTTCTTTTTGATTTTTCTGTTTTTGTAGGCATTTTATTCCTAACTCCATAAACTTTCATGATCATCATCAACTCAGCTTTAGGTTGCTCGTATACTGAGTCTGCAAGCCTCAGCTACATCATTGCTAAAAGCGCCGACGCTACTGGGCCCCTGGCTTACAATGGTATCTCGTAGCCACACACAGCAGGGTGAGCTGCAGTGGAACACAGCAAACCAAGAAGCCCGAGCCAGAACGTCAGAAACTCGTTATGGTGACTCCAATGGCAGGCAACAGGAAAAAGAACCTAAAATTCATAAATCATAGCCACAGACATCAAGAGGTGGTCTACGCAAGCTATTCAGTATCAGGAGTTTCCATAAGAAGAAACTGGCTAGGCACAGAGGCTAACGCCTGGAATCCCAGTACTTTGGGAGGCCAAGTCAGGAGGATTGCTTGAGGCCAGGAATCTGAGAACAGCCTGGGCAATACAGTTGTGACACCATCTCCACAAAAAATTAGCCACGATGGTGGCACGCCTGTGATGCAGGCTACTCAGGAGCCTGGGGTGGGAGAATCTCTTGAGCCCAGGAGGTCAAGGCTGCAGTGAGTCATGATCGCACCACTATAATCCAGCCTGGGTGACAGAGTGAGACCCTGTCTCTAAAAAAAAAAGAAGTTTTAAACCCAAATTACTTACCAAGATTATCCACAGCATAATGAAAAAAGCAACTGAATTTGATGTGCTTGTTGCAAACTATGTCAGGATTGGGAGTCCTTCCTTTTTCATACTCATTCAAAAAATCACTAGAATAAAAGAAAATGACTTCAGTTCCAAGTGTGAAACATTCCTCAAAAAAAAAAAGTTCACTAAATTGCTTAATGTAGAATTTCTCCTTGTCATACCAAAACTGTAATTTTCTGCAAAACAGGAGAGCTTCAGTATAAAGCCACTGTCTTCGAACATTTGTTTATAACCTGCTGCATGGGCCACCTGACAAGGTGTTATTCTCTGCTGGCTCAGAAGCCACCATCTCCGTGCAGGCTCACAGGGCCTATGGGGTCAGGAGTGGGGAGTGCCCCTGCCTCTGGGACTCCTCCAACACAGCAGGGCTTAGGTGAGGAAGAGAAGATGCCTGAGTGACAGTAGAAATGAAATCCTCTAGACTTCCGCTGCAGGGCTGTGGTGCTATGCTACTATACATTGGCTTTCATCCACAGTTCCTGGCTTGCAACTCCCTTAGCCTGTTACTGTTTTGTTGTCATGCTAGGTGCGGTGGGCCTCAGGGACGGGCCTCATGGATGGGCCTCTGACCTCACCCGTTAGTCCTTTGCTGTCATGCTGGGTGCGGTGGGCCTCAGGGACGGGCCTCACGGACAGGCCTCTGACCTCCTGCCCTCCTTTCACTGCATCTTTCTTTTTTTTTGAGACGGAGTCTTGCTCTGTCATTCAGGCTGAAGTGCAGTGGTGTGATCTCAGCTCACTGCAACCTTCACCTCCCGGGTTCAAGCGATTCTCCCACCTCAGCCTCCAGAGTAGCTGTGATTACAGGTGTGCAGCACCATGCCTGGCTAATTTTTGTATTTTTAGTAGAGACGGGGTTTCACCATGTTGGACAGTCTGGTCTCCAACTCCTGGCCTCAAGTGATCTGCCCTCCTCAGCCTCCCAAAATGCTGGAATTAGAGGCGTGAGCCACCGCACCCGGCCCACTGCATCCTTTTCTTTCTTTGTAGAGATGAGGTCTTGCCATGGTGCCCAGGCTGATACTGAACTCTAGGCCTCAAGCAATTCTCCTGCCCCAGCCTCCTAAAGTGCTAGAATTACAAGCACCTACCTTTCTGACTGTAGGTCTTAAGACCCTCCCCAGAGAGTCCCACTCTATATCCTGGGAGAAGGAATGGCGACGTCATGAAGCCTCCATAAAAACCCAAGAGTACTGGGTTCAGAGAGCTTCTGCACAGCTACACTTGTGGAGGCTCCTGGAGGGTGGCCCGAGGGAGGGTGTGGATACCCTTTCCCCATACCTCACCCGGCCCGACTCTTCATCTGTATCCTTTGCAACATCCTTTATAATAAACTGGTAAATGTGTTTTTCTGAGTTCTGTGAACCACTCCAGCAAGTTATTAATAATCGAACCCAAAGAGGAAGTTACGGGAATCCCAACGGGAAGCCAGTGGGTGGTAAGTTCTACAGGCTCACACTTTCCACTGCTGTAGAGGGAGAGTCCATCTTGGGGACGGAACCCCCAACCTTTGGCATCCAGCACTGTCTCTAGGTAGATGGTATCGGAACTGAATCAGAGGACACCCAGTTGTGTCCACGGCTTGGTGTATGGAGACAACCCCCCACACCTTTGTCACAGAAGCCTTCTTCTGTCAGGATGCCTGCCATGGTGAGAGCAGAGGAGAAACCAGTCAGAGGTTTCCCCGCACCAGGGCTCTATGAGCCATTCTGCAATCTCAGCCTGGGATGCTGCGCCACTGGGAAAATATACCAAAAATACTTTCCTCGCATGACAAACACACTTCTGAGAACAAGCAACCTCTTGGGTGCTTAAAGTGGATCAGGCCATCCTAATTCAGTGAATTTCTGCTCTAACAGACTGACTGAGCGTGGGAAAAAGATGCCACGATACCAGCAAGACTTACATAGTCTTCGAGGATTCACTTCAAGAGGGTTATGACACCTATTTTGGGTGTTTAAAAATGGGTGTATTTTTGGTATAAGTGATTTTTTTCATTTAACCTAAAACTCTCTATTAATCAACAAGGGTTAAAAAAAAAAAACCAAGGCTGATCAAGAGGGTTGTGTTATGCAGACAGATCATGGATCTGCACACGGTCAGAGGTTCCTTGGATGTTTTCCACGTTAGCAGGTACCAAACTGTTTTCCTACTTCTCGCTCCCCCAGAAGTTCATAAAAGCTCATGTTGTTCCACGTTTGCAACAACACTTGATATTATTACACTCTTTCCACTTTGCTTTAATTATTAGAAAGTTGTCAGGAAGCTCATTAAACTATAAACTACTTAAGGCACAGTCTGTGTCTCTCTATGTCCTAGACCCAACAAGCTTTCTATGTAACAGTCATCAATAAATATTGAAGAGGTCGAACATTTAAATCAGTTTCTGAAGACATACTGTTAACCCTTTCCTAAACAGCGGACGGGAAGGTGTGTCGTTTGGCATTAGCAAAAACAATGGAGTGGCCTGGCCTCTTCTCTCACTGGAAAGAAGAGAAGCCTTTCCTGCACTTCGGGAGGGAGACAGCAGTTTAAAAGACTCAGCAGCTAAAACGTATCTGGACTCTGATCCGTGAAGGCCAGTGGGTCTTGAATGAAAGAATACGAAAGAAATTTCTGGAGAGCCCTACTAGAGGAGTGAGTGTTCGGCAGGAAGACAGTGCCTCCACGGGCAGCTGGTACTGGGCGAGGGCAGAGGGCAGGCTGGCTGGAGCCTGGGGCGAGCTCGGGGGCAGCCCCAGAGATGGGAAAAGAATCGCCTCCTCCTTTCAGTCCCTATCAAGCAGCGCCAGAAGCCGGCAGCAAGCACTGGCCTGGAAAGCTGGGTTTTAGTCCCAGCACTGCTCCTCATTTGCCACAGTATTCAAGTCACTCTTCCTATCTGGCCTCAGCTGAGCCAAACTTCAAAAACCACGTCCACGCGTACACTTTGAAAAAGCGGTGCGAGCAGGTGAAGTGTAAGCTCACTTGGATTCCCTGTTGTCACCTCAAACTCTACAGTACTCATGAGGAATCCCCTAAACCGGCTTTCCCCAGCCACCCAGCCTTGATCTTGAAACTACTGCTGATTGGCCGGGCGCGGTGGCTCAAGCCTGTAATCCCAGCACTTTGGGAGGCCGAGACGGGCGGATCACAAGGTCAGGAGATCGAGACCATCCTG